AAGCTTTGTTTGTACGCCCGACGTGACTTAACCACGGCGCTGCTGGACCCTTCAGCGATCCGACCTTCCCAGTGAGAGCCGGGCATCCGCGGCGCCGCCCACTGTGCCACGCGTCGCACCGTCTCCCTCCATTGCCGACCATGGTTCTGTCGCACGGGGATCCCGGCGTCCTTGAGATTGTTGACATAATCATATTGAAGCCACTTGCCCTTCCTTTTACCGGGGGCCCTAACCTGCCCAACGTCCGGTGTCAGAAAAGCAAAGAGCATCTGCTTTGGAAGGCGAGAATCTGGCATACGAGCCACGTGCCCTAGCCAGCGCACCTGTGCCTGTTTAATGAGATCCACAATCTTAGGAGCCCCCAGACATTGTCTGAGTCTCGCGTTGTTCATACTCCACTGCTCCTGTTGCCAGAAAGAGACTTTGCCGATTTTACGAAGACAGGACATGTGGAACTTTTCCTATTGGTGTCTGCATTGGAAAGTCGTGGTCCAGGATGCGCACCCATACAGCAGCGTCGATATCACGCATGCTCGACACACATGCATTTTGGTCGACAGACTTAACTGGGACACGTTCCACACGCTTGAAGACAGCCGCCAGAAGGCACGGCGAGCTATGTCCAGGCGTTTTCGAACTTCGGCCTCGCATCCTGATATTTGAAATGCCTCGTGAAGTGGATGTTCCCTCTAGTCTGTAGTGAAGCGTCCACGGGCAGACTTGCTGGCAACGGCCCATCGCGCGATGTCACGGCCTCTGTTTTGGCAACCGACATATGTAGTCCCCACGACTCGTAGTGCCCGGCAAGTTCTTGAGCGTACTGGGCCAGTTTTTCCCACGTGTCCGCCACAAATGCTGCATCATCCGCGTAACCTAACTCATGTAGCAGCAACGTTTCTCAACTGGTATACTTGGCCAATGTCGCTGCGTCAATGTCTGCGAAGGACTCCGTCCAGTCTGCACCGCCAACGTAAGCGAGCAGGTGTTTTGGCCATCCATGCCTCCACAACAGCGGCCAGGTATACGTTGAACAGAGTGGGAGCAAGACAACAGCCCTGCCCTAGTCCCGTGTTAAGCGCGATGCCCGCAGATAGAACCCCTTCCACACTGACTTTTGCCTCTTTTCCCGTGTAGAAGTCTTGGATCAGCGCGACAAGCTTGTTGGGCACCCCTTTTTTGTGTAAAATCGTCCAGAGCCCCCCGCGACTCACCGAATCGTAAGCTTTTGCTAAATCAACAACCAGGACATACAAGGGGTGCGATTTCACCCGAGCGATCTCCAACGCCACGCGTAGAGTAAAGATCATGTCGGTAGTGCCTCGTCCCGCCCTGAACCCACACTGTGTCTCGGGCAGCAGCTCCTGCTGTTCTAAGTATGCCTGTAACCTAACCTGGCATTGAAAATCTTGCCGGGTACTGAGGAAAGAAGTATCCCTCGCCACTGGCCACATTCCGTGAGATCACCGTTTTTTGGAATGGGAACCAAGTAATTAGCCCTCCACTCGGCGGGCATGGGCCGCAGCCCCTCCCACACTTGACACAGCATTTCCGTGAGTACCCGCGTGTTGCACAAGTCAAGTCCCATCAGCAGCTCGGGCTGCACTCCGTCAGCTCCGTGCGCTTTACCTTTTTTGAGCTGCGAAATGGCAGCCATGACTTCCACCATGCTCGGGGGGTCTCCCAAACTGTCGTATGTTGGACGATCTGTGAGGCCCTCCAGCACCGTAGAGCTGACTTCCGTCTCCACACTAAGAAGGTTGGAGAAATGCTGTTCCCATCTGCGGACGCGTTCTTGTCGCGTAGCCAGGACCGTACCATCTGCAGCCTGAGCTTGGCCTGCTGCCGACGACCAGTACCAAACACAGATCGTAGCTGTTGGAACCCCGCACATTGATGGTTTGGGCGCTTTGCATAATACCCTGAACTAGTTTCTTGTTGCGTCGGCGGATCATGCGATAGTGCTCCAGTCCAGCAGGCGAGGCACTACTCTGCCTGAAAGCGTCCTGCTTTTCCTTCGCCAACCTAGCAAGCTCCTCCGCGTTTTCGTTCTGCCACGCAGGCCTACCATGTCTTTCGACGTCGCCACAGACCGTCTCAGCAGCTCGGCGCAGCGCATAGTGCCATAGACTCATATCCGTGGCAAGATCGTCCCGAACCATGTCAAAGAGGAGATCATTCAGGCGAGCCTTGGACTCGTCGTGGTCGAGGCATGACACAGCGGTAGTCGGGTCTCCGGTACCAACCGAGTATGTCGGCCCCATGGTTGCTCAGACTTAGGCATAACTCGTATTTTCATCGTCACCATGCGGCGATCGCTGTCCCAATCTATACCCGTCAGAGTCTTGACATCCGTGAAGAGCTGCGCCGTCCGGTTACTGGGAAGGATATGATCGATCTGATGCCAGCGTTTCGTGAGATTGTGCATCCACGTACCGTGTTCCTTGTGATGATAGCAAGTGCTCATGACCCGTAACGGTTTGCGACGCCCGTTGCGACAAAAGTCAAGTAGCAGCCTTCCATTGTCGTTGAGTTCCGTCATGCCGAAAGGACCCAGCGCGAGGTCCGTGGACTCGTTCTCGTCCGATTCAGCCGGAGCTTCACGCACACCAACCCTAGCATTAAAGTCACCCAGGACAACCAACTCCTCAGTTGCCTTGCAGCGTCCAACCATTTCCGCCAAATCCCTGTAGAACTCCTCCTTCGCCAAATCCGTAGCTCGGAACGTCGGCGCATAACAAGCAATGACGTGAAATGTACGCCTTTCGATCTCAACCTGTATCCGTAAGAGCCTTCCGCCGCGGCACTCGACGACACTGCCAGCGCGATTCCACGCCTTTTTCATTTGGCCATCCAAGAAGATCCCAACACCCTGCATGGCACGCTCCGAGCCTTCAGGTATTCCCGAGTAAATAATTTTACTTGAGCCAATGTCCATGATCCCTTCCCCTTTCCATCGTGTTTCGACAGAGGTCGTAGGGTCGACATGGGTTTGCTCCCGTAACAACTAGTTTCCCCCCAACATTCTCAACCTGCGTGTTCAGTGTACGTACATTAAGCGCCCCCCAGCGCAATTTGACGGCTTGTGCTTCCAGAGGATGTTGCGATTCGGGCAGCGCCAGGCTGCCTTCATCGGTGGCCGGTTAATCCTCCTTCCGCGGGTTCGGTTGTTTCGTAAGCGGTCGTGTGCAGGAAAAAAGGGCCCAACGGCTTGCAAGGCCGAAGGGCCCGTCGGGGCAGCAGCTGGCAAAGGGGTTCCCCACACCCGAAGGCGGGGGTACCGGACCCCAAAGCAGCTTAGCCGCCCCCATGCGCCCACCGTTTGCTGCAGCAACCCAGAACTCAAACAAGACTAAAACAGGAACCCCGAAAGCCACCAGAAACCCCAACAAAACGTCCCTATTGCCGCAGTGCCACCCTGCCGCCTGCGAGCCTGGCTGGGCACACCAGACCCGCCTCGATGAGGAGTTGGTCCGACTTCGGCAGGGTGTAGTGAGCCCAGCTACTGCCAGAGCTGCGGCCAGTTCAGGTGGAGGTACTCAGCCGGAGCTGTGTTGGTCAGGTGCTGCAGAAGCTGAAGCTCTACTGCGCTCCAGTCCGTTGGCGCTTGCGACGGTTGGTAGAGGCTCGCATAATTCTGCTACCTTCTACTACCTTGAGCCAAATTTTCTTGAGCCAGGAAATGTGCAAGGAATGTGCATGCACGTGACATTTACGAAAAATGGGGCTACTTTGGCCTTAATTGTCGCGTGTCGGGCAAAAGACTCGTGCGGTTTGTAGAACATTGTATATGTTCCTTCTTGTGTGTGGCAACACATTGAAATAACCCTTAGATCAAGGCCAGCTTAGTTGGCCCTTATTTTTTCCTGAATTCTACAAGGGGGGGGTTGAGGGGGTGAAAAGCTTCTTTGAGCTCAGAGGGCCCCACTTTCAGTCTCAATCGCATTCCAGCGGCATCATGGCGTCGCGGCTCTCCCCGCTCAACCCCCTCGCAGCCATAGGACCATTCCAGTCCTTGCCGCAGGCACCGAAACTAGATTTGGCTTCACTTTGAGATTGCTTCTCACTTGGAACCGAGAATAAAAGGCCCTGCCCAATCGTCTGGATGAAAGCAAAATCCTCTAATGCCACTTCACTCTTTGGCTCCAAGGCACCATAGACTTCCACTGCAGCGTGGAAAGCTCCGCCAACGTGAAATAAGTTTGCCCCAACACTGTTCGCGGTGGGCCAATCCTTGTTCAAGTCATAGATGTTGATGAAGACCTCAAGATTGGAGATGCAGGGAACGACTGACCCGCGCATAAGCAGTTGATGGCACTAGGAAGTCAGTTGGGTAAAAAACTGAGCCTTGGGCCGTGGACCGCTCCAAATCGTCCTTGGACGCGTGGAACAAAGAAAGAATGTGATGACATTGGACTGCGCGAAATGTTTAAGGGCATAAATGGGCCTAACTTGCTGCAAAGATGCCAGGGCATCAGCATCATCTCCTGCAACCTGAGACCAGATTGCCCATTAACACACAAACACACACACACACACACACACACACACACACACACACACACACACACACACACACAATGACAGTTGAAATTATTGAAATCCAATTGCAGCACAAGAAGTGTTAGGTTGCAATAGCGACCACGCATGTCCATTCCTCCAGATCTTCCCAAGTTCAGCTTCCCAACTGTACCCCAGCTGCGCATGGCGAAAAACGGCTCTTGTTGCCACCCGAGCGGCGCAAACGCAATCAGAATTCACGGCTCCCATGGGTATGAATGCGTGCGCGGAACGGCAAGCTTGTGGCTATGAGCCCGATTCCACTGCGCGAGCGGGCGACTATCATCAGGCATCAAGAAGGAACGCCAAGTACATCGCAATATGACGGCCATGTGCGTGCCAAGCTGTTCAAGTGATCGTGTTTTCCGTGCTTTTCCGTCGTCCAACTGTCCAACCCGACTTCAAAGCTAATCTCGGTGATCTCGGAGGCTGGGCGCCGGTGCCTTTCAGCGCCAGGCCGAGGTCTCCATCCACGGAACCTGGGAAGCACTCGGGACCAAGATTCGGGCAACCCGTCCCCGGATGCCACTGACGAGGTATGCCACAGCAGCAGATGTTGGCTTCAACTTCCGTACTTCAAGAGTAAACCAGCATCGACCCCAAACACAAATTGCAACCGGAAACATCTGGGCCATGTCAAGCTGCCAAGGCATTGCCTCGCAGTGGGGCGGCAAAGCAAGCCAGAGCTCACACGCTGTGCATCCCCGCAAATCGGCTGATGCACCGTGAGGAGCTTGGTGCCGTCAGGGAAGGTGGCCTCAACCTGAAAGCATGCCACGAGTGTGTGCGATGAATCCATCGCTCTCCCCTCTCTCTTTCTAGCTCTCTCCATCTCTCTCTCTTTCGTTTGGAACCGCATCAGGAGACTGAAACATTTATCGGTTTGAAACGAGTGCCCATCACCACTCAGTCAATGCCTCCAGTGTCCCTTTCCGCAAGAACGGGCCTGCACGTCCGGGATGAGTCTCTCCACACCGGGAAGCACCTCTGAACTGCCATTGACCATTGACTTCACTCTCCGAGCGCATCAGACTCCAAAACCTGTCCGGATCTCTGGCAGCCGGCTGCCTGGCGCCGGCCCAGCAACTGCTTGCCCAAGTCCATCAGCGTCGCCACAGACTCGCCGTCGCGGATGAACCTGAAATCGGCCAGCCAGCAGCCAGCACTTGCCGCAAGAATCAGCACTTCATGATTTGGGGGATGTGGGGGAAGGAAGCTCTTGCAGTGCGCAAAAAACACTCCCAGGCCACTACTCCATCATCTGGCTCGTCAGCAAAGCAATCGCCTGCGCCAGTCTGAGGCTCAGCAAACGGGCCAGTTTGCTACAGCGAGTGCCACAGGGTGACGCTTCTTTGTTCATATTGCGACTTCCGGGTTCCGCTGCTGATCAAACACAACCAACAAGATCCCGCAGGAAGGAACAGCGTGGTATTGCCGCAGGGCAGTCACATGGGCTTTGAACATCTGCCGGGTTGAGCTCACGAGGTGCAACTCCGTTGGATAACAAAGAACACGACCCTCCCACAACCCCCCCCCTCTCCCTCTCCCTCTCCCGCCTCCGGATGGTTAAGACGCAAGCCGCGAGCCAGGCGCCTCTGCGCCAGCTGCCCCGCCTCGAGAAACTCTGAATAAAACATCGGCCCACTCACATAGCATATCGGCCAAATTCTGGCTCTGGACCTTTACTGCTCGCCTCATATCGCCTCACGTATATCTTGGGAAAGGGGAAGGCGAGCACGCCCAGCCCCAAGCCTTTGAACCTTCTCATGCATGCTGTTGGACGGAAGCCAATGTCAAACAAACTGGAAGGGCAATGAACAGAATGAATGTTGCCCGGGAACAGCAACACAACCAAACTTCGAGAGTTCAAGCAGATTCCCGCCTGCGAAAGACGCAAATGATCCAGCTCCCTGGGTGTCAGCTTCATTCCGCGCCACTGTCCTCGGAGAGGCACCTGAGGCAATCGACCAAAGAGCAATCACCCGGAAATCCCATGCCGCAACCCTGCAGCCTTGCTAGGGCCCCAACATGTGCAGGCACCAGCAAACCCGGGGACCTGATGGAAAGCAAGTGTCTTGAGCGGGGTGAGCACCCAAGAAATCATGCAATCGCAGCGGTGATGATAGAATGGAGCAAAAAGCACCCAGTCAGACTGCCACCTGAAATTCGACATCTCCAAAGTCCAAAGCTTGGCAGAGTTGCAAGTCTCACGGTGGGTCCCCGAGCCGCAAGTGCCGCACAGCCCGGCCGAGGCCATAAAGGGCCCGCATGGCCTGGGAACGGAAGGCTCACGAGAATGGCTTAGCTCAGAATTTGTTGGCCGCGCCATTGGCCAACTGCCCACGCTGCCTGCTTTTGGCCAGTTTTGGACGCGCATGGCACTTGCCCGGCTCTCATGGGCCATAGCCATCGTCGATGATGTCTTCCATGGCATCCTCTATGAAACCCACATCCGGCTCGACGGAGCGTGCGCGCTTCTTCTCAGCCCGATGCTGCACCTGCAGTCCATAAGAAAGTTGGCCGTGAGGCCAAAAAATCTGCTTCGCTTTCTCCCGCCGAGCCCAAAACCGTCTGGGCACCCTCACACGTCTTCGACAATAAATACTTCACCCCGGCGCCCAAAAATATTTTGAATCATTGACCATCACGCCTGCTCCTGCAAGCAGCGGCGCATCTCCGTGCCAATTGCTGCACAGGTGTCTTTGCCCAGCAGCACCATCTGCTCGAAATGCTTTGGTGGCAGGTTGCCCACCGCATGCAGCAAACAAAGTGCGCCTCTGCGAGTCAGGGAAGCTGCCCATTGTCTCTCTCTCCCTTTCTCTCTTTTTGTAGCCTTTGTTTCTCCAGGCACATCCGGATCTGCAGCATGGGATCCCAAACTCGCACTACTGGTAGCCTCCTAGCCTGCTCTCTTGAATTGATCTTGACACTTTGTGATTTGCAAGTCTTGCAGTGAAATCAACTTGACAAAGCTCTAGATCTCAACAAAACCTCATCATCTCATCTGAAACTTGCCATATGTTGATATAGGCGGGAAGTGTCCCACAGATGATACGCATTTGACCGAATGTCGCAGGTAGTGAGCAACTGGCCCAACATGCTGTGTGAGTGTTGACTGATCCTTATGCTCCCTCGAAAGAATTACTTTCGTGCTCAAGATTTGCACTGGGTCATTCTTGAAAACCAAGTCCTCGCAGTTGAAATCCGCAAACCTCGCTTGGAGTGTGCGGTCTGCTTTGGGCTCGCCTCGTGAGGGGCACAGCCCCACGTGCAGCACCGCCGCGTCCGCCGCCAGCGCCCGCTCCTCGCGGCGGTCGCAGTCCAGCAGCAGCCGGGGCGCGGCGCCGGGGCCCGCCAGGTGCACCGTGGCGCCGGCCACCAGGTCCCGCATCTCCACCTCAGATCCCGCTGAAAAAGAACGAGTGCGTGGGTGAAGGTGAAGTAAACGGTGGCTTCCAGAGCTGTCACTAGCAAGCGAGCAGAGCAGACCTTTGTAGTCAAAAGGGGTCCAGTCCCCAGTCCCTGCGGCCTTCGCATCTGCCAGTGCCAGCGATGCCGCTGCCAGGCTTCCAGTGAGCACTGCGCCATCATCTTCTAGCACTAGGAGAGTAAGGTCAAAGGCAGTCTTTCCATATCTCCTTGGCGCAGAATCCAGCTGCTCCCAAAGTGAAAAGAACAAACGTGGCTCTGAGGAGTTGTCACTGGGGGCCATTCAATACCTAAAGGCCAAAAGGTCAAGGACTTGATAACAAGGAATCTGGAATATGTTATTGTTGCGCTCTTGTTCAGCAATGATATTGCACTCACAAACCTGGCATGGTTTTCATAGAGCAAGCAAACGAGTGGATCACAAATATGTGTCTTGAAAAGGAAGCTAACCTGGATGAGTCTCACACATCAGCGACATTGCTGTACAGGCCACATCACAAACAAAGGGAGAAAATACACCTGCACCTGTTCTGCAAGTATACAGCGCAGTGAAGGCTTAGGGAATGCAGACCAAGCTCGCAAACACATCAATCACGCCCCTGCCACTGATGTTTGTCATGGTGCTTCCAAAAAGCAGGTACCTGCCAAATTGCTTGCCAACGAGGAAACAATCCAAAAGCCGGCTGGTCAGCCGTGTGGAATGCCCAGTCCAATACCACACAAACTTGTGCCGCCAAGTGGCTCTAGGAGGATCACCGTCTCAAAGGTGCTTTGCAGGATGGAGTTATAGAGCACCATGCGCTTCTCCGCCTCCTGACTGATGTCAAACCCATGTTAGAGCCAAACATTGAAATAATTGAATGTCCTCAGGAGGACACCCAGGTTGACCAGAAATCTCACCCATGCCTCCAAGTTCTGGCCTCAATACAGCCCCAGCTTCCCCCAGCTTCCCCCCAGCTTCCCCCCAGCTTTCCCCCTCCTCTTTGCTGAAGTCCCCAGCGAAGGGCGCAAACTGCAAATCCACCGAAAGCTGCCCCTCCGCGCGGGTGCGGTTCTCCGCCTGCCGGGGGCCGTAGACCGCGGCCAGCAGCTTGGTGCCGCCCTGCTCCTCGGAATTGCGAAATTCGCCTTTTTCTCCATGAGGCCATGGGTCAAAAGCCAAATCGTACCCCCAGTGAACATCCCAATCCCCACTGAAATAGACTAAAATGGGTGGTGAATTCACCTACCAACCAAAATGGTACCATTGGTTTTGACAATCACAGCCAGGTCAATGGCCTTTCCCACCATTACACTTTGGCGCTCGCCACAATTATTGTAGATCTGTCTTCAATGCACTATGCACTTTCTTCTGTCTGACTCCTAAATGGGCAGCCTCATAATGGATTCAGTGACAATTTTGGCATGCCTAATGCCCGATTGACAAGCCGGGGCACCAGGTAAGCAGATCCTGCTGCGTTGGGCACCGCGCCAACCCGCAGCTGGCATGGCCTCGTCTCTTCCTCTCTTCGGCCCTGGACAGCGTGCCAACCCGATTCTCAAGCTACAAGGCTACAATCAAGGTTTCGCCATCAGCGCCAAGTGCTAGCTGGCGACTGAGTTGATTTTTGGTTGCAAGGGGCGGCTGTGGCACTCTGGCGGTTCTTCTAAGCCACAGAGCCCCCAATCGCCCACCGGCCTGACGCGTAGCTGGTGCCGGCAAAGGTGTGGGCACGTAGCGCAGCGAACGATCATCCCGCTCTGGTTGGAGGGGGGGCTCCCCCAAGAGCGCCATGGGAGGTGAAGCAGCTGCAAACAGTTCAGTGCTGGCTAGGATGCCTGGTTTCACGGCACATGGGCTTCAGCGGCTAACTCGTGCGGAAAGGAACGGATTTGTTGATGTTCCTGTCAACATGGCACAACTCCCAGCTTGCTGCACAGCTGGCTGGAGCCAAACATCCTTCGGCTCTTCAGCAAATGCGTCCGAAAGTACGGACCCTTCTTTGGCGGCCGCTTGAAGCAAACCAACATACCAAGCACTTGGAGCCCAGCCTTCAACAAGGTCCGAAGATTCTCACTCAACGCGCCAAGGCCACCACTATCAGATCCCAGGCTTGGCTGCCCGCTAGGCTTGTGGGGTGCTCCAATGGACATCTACCCCTGTACTTTGAGGGGCTGAGACATGTGCTATCGCCTTGGGTTTCTCATGGTAGCCGGAAAGCGAGTCCGACTCCAACAAGTGACAGAAGTCATTCGGGCCCAATTCTTGCATAATTCATGCGACTTGCCGAAATGCCGAGTAAAGCGGCTGGCAGGGCCTGGTTTGGGCAAAATGCGGGGCGATCCATGCAGGCTCCGGCAACAGGTAAGGGGCAACTTGCAAGGTGAGCTGAGTCCCGTGCGTCCACATGCATTCAAGAAAGCTCTGCAACAGGCCAAGTGCATGCCCGATCGCCCGCCTGCAGGTGCAGCTTGTTGCTGCTCTTGCTTCTCAGCCCATTCGGCCATCTCGTCTTCCGTTGGCCACTCTGTCATATCTGCTTGCCCACTTGCCACAGGAGATGGTTGTTCTGCTTCTGTTGGCAACTCCCTTGCCACAGGCGCAGGTTGTTGCTGCTCCTTCTCCGCCCCTTCTGCCTGTGGCACTGCCTCTGGCACTGCCTCTGGCGCTGCCTCTGGTACTGCCTCTGGCGCTGCCTCTGACACTGCCTCTGGCGCTGCCTCTGACACTGCCTCTGGCGCTGCCGCTGGCACTGCCTCTGGCGCATCCTGCAGTCACCGGCCATATTGATTCAGGAATAAGCAGAACTTTGTCTTGCAACCTGTCAGAGACAGCAATAGTGCAAAACACCAACAAAGCTTTATGTGCCATGTCAGAATGCCGAATACTGACGCGTTGCCTCTGTGCCTTACCTTGGAGACTCTGCTAAAACAGCTCAAGCGACTGGAAGCTCCTCTGGCGCCTGCTCGGCTGGGGCTTCCAGAGCCTCCTTTGGAGGTGGCGCCGGGGCTTCAGCCTCAGCTATCCCATGTCCCAATTCCCGAAGGTCTGACTCCTTGCTCACTTTAAACAAAAAAAATGGAAAATGTATATATATATATATATGTGTATGTGTAGATATATATATATGTATGTATATGCCGTGTGCCCTTCAAGTCATCAAACGGGCCATGAGATGGACGGCCCACCGCAATGCACAGCACAACTCGCATGCGCATCAGCGGCTCTCTTTTCCTTTCCGGCGCCTGGCGCTTCCGCTTCCTTGGGTCACGAAGCACTTGCGCCATCTCAGCCTCTGCTTGGATCCAACTCCAGCCAAGCCTCTTTGTAAGTACCTCACATATCACGGCCCGTGCTACTTGCCTTGCTACCATTGACAGCTCAGCACCTGCTGCCAAAGCGCCTTCTTTGGCCGCTTGGATTCAGCAGCATCGGCATTCAGCAAATCCTCGGTTCCAGGGCTGCCATCATTGAGGATCCTCTCCCCAGAAAACTGCTTCACAGGTTCACTCAAAGCTGGAGCTGAGCTGTCACAGCATCGCCTCTGTTCCAAACATCATAGAAAGCAAGGCGTAGAGAGCAAGGTCTCCTAGATTAATCCAAGTGACGAAATCATCATGGAAGAGCACCTGATTTACAACTTTGTTGAGAGCTACTCGAATCGCAAGCACGAAACGAACAGCAACGCCCCTGCAAGTCAACTCCAACATCGGCCTCACCAGTGGCGGCTTCTGTCTCCAACATCGCCATCAGTGCGTCATCGTCATCGTCGCTATGGGCCTTAGCCAGAAGCCAAAGCAACAGCCGCGCAGCTAGCACAAATCAGCCCTGTGCCAATCCAAACCCACCCCGAAAGCCAACCCAATTCCCACCCACCTGGATATCAGCCACGTTGCCGAGCCCAAATGAACCACAGACCAAGCCGAGGATCTCAGGCATCCTTAAACTTACCCTACACCAATTCGAGCAACTCGCAAATGCCACCAAATCTGATCTAAGTGGCAGCCCAAGGTCCAAGCGAGGCCAATGATGCTGGGATGCGGGTAACCAACCAACCAACCAACCAACCAACCAACCAGCCAGCCAGCCAGCCAGCCAACCAACCAACCAACCAACCAACCAACCAACCAACCAACCCAGGCGGACCAGCCCAGGGGGAAAAAGACTGGTAAATTAGTGTGTTATTTTATTTAAGAAAAAGATAAGGCAAGTTCTGTCAAATCATAGGCGGGGTTCGTTGCCTTCGACATGTCTTGCTCTGGAGGCCTGACCCTTTATGCAATTCTGACAATGGCTCGGTCGGTACCTGCCTAGAAAGCACTTGTTTTTTTCTTCGTTCGAAGTGTTCTTTCTTAACAATTTTCATGGGCCCCTGAGGGAAGCTATGGGGAGGGGGGGCTATCCCTTACTCACTCCTTAATAAGGCCTTCTCCTGGGCTTATCCAGGGATAGCCTCCCCCCTGCCCCTAGCCCCCCAAGGGCTCTATTCTATTTGGTAGGGGCTAGCAAACCGTTGGCAAGCCCAGGAAGCTGCACCCATACATAACACCCTGAGTCACAGCATCACCTAATGCAACCACGGCACCTCGTGCTTCTGAGAGGTTCTGGCCTGAACAAGCTGATGCTATCCGAGCTGCCACAAGAATGCGTTCCTCTCGCTGCACCAGCACTGCGCAGAGTTAGCATTCATGTTCATCTACTGCTGGCACCCATGCCCGCGCCTCCTTCTTCACACGTTTCAGCCGCTTGCCTCGCTTTGGTATCCGCTCCTGGCCGCTCAGCATCTTGGACATGGGCACTGGCCTTTCTCTCTCTCTCTCTCTCTCTCTCTCTCTTTGGCTCTGGCTGTCTTCTTTTCGGTTATCCGCTTCTGCGCTTGTCCCACCCCGCGCAGCTCCTCAGCGGCGCCTGTCACACTCAGGCATGGCGACCCAGCGACCGAGCCAGAGTGCAACTATGCAAGTCGGAATGAGGCTCCCTGCTTGGGCCTGGGAGGTGCAGGGAGACCGACACAAACTTTGTTGCTATCTCCTGAGAGCTTCGAGGATTCAAGCATGAAAGGCTCTAGAATACCAAAGCTAGATGCAGCCTCTTAAATCTACAAAGTGCCTCTAAGCTCCAAAGATCTCCTTGTTGACAACCAATACAGGACAAGGCTTGGATTTGTTTGTATTAGGCTTTCCCTTCGCATGCCGACATCAGATCTCAAGAACCGTGGCTTTGTTCGAAAGACCGGCTCCTTCCGGTAGGTGGCATGAAACCTTTTCCTCGGCCAGCAAAGGACAAGAAGCACGCAGGAACCCAGTGAGACTGAACAGCCCACGCTCAAAGGCTTCTGAAACCACCGAAGCGAAATGGCGGTCTCCGACCCACGAGCAAAGGAAGCCTCGCAAAAAAAACTCCCCCAACAGTTTTCCCTTTAAAGGGGACCCCCATTGCTGGGAGGGGAACTACAATTTCAGCCGCGGGGCACCTGGCTCTGGAAGACCCGATGCAGCGTGCGCAGCATCGAGGAGCTGCTGCTCATGGAACCTCCAGTCCGCTTTACGCCACTACGCTTCCCGCTCCCAAAGGCAAACAAAGAACCTGGAAGGGTGGAAGACCATGTGCCTCTGTTTAGGTTGTCATTTTTTTGTAAATTCGATCTGGGAAGAACAGGGATCCCCAGAAATCGGCGAAGGCGTGTGGCTGTTGTCAACAGGAACATGGGCAGGAAGCAAAACGACAACTCTTGAGACCTTGTGAATCTGTTGGCACTCTTCGAGGGCACGTCCAAATGCCAACTACATTGAGCATGTTACCAATTGTCCGCAAACATTGCTCGTGCTATTGGTCATTCATACTGACTGTTGTGTTTCACAAATGAGCTGTCTACATTATCCTTGTTCCGACAGACAGAGCGGCTAAGGCGTCCGACTAAATCACTGCGGCCCAAGTAGTTCCCTTTTCAAGGGGGCCAAATGTCGGTTAGCCTGCGCACGTCCAGGTATTCTCATGGTGAGCACAAAATGGGGCATGGTCCCCTTCTCCACCCCTTTTGCCATGAACTCTGTCGGAGTTGAAGTGTCTGCCTATCAAATTGACACGTATTCTCAAGCAATAAATCAGTGGTGCGGCGATTTGTCCGCACAGCCTGGCACCAATAAAGCGGGAATTCGAAGATGTGGGCATATATGGTATTTCTTTGAAGCGCAACTTGAAGCAGTTCCACAGGCCCATGGGAAACATGTCACAATATGACCAATTCTCTGCACGCAACCAAAACGCAATGCAACCAATCACACAAGGTATCTGCTTTGACAGTCTAACAAGTTAGCAGACCTCGGGCTCTGTCCCACAGAGTCTGCTCCGGACAAGCTTGCAAAGAGTAGCGCAAAGTGCAAACTTCCCTTCGCTTCCCCGATGCAGCCTAGTGGCCAGCCAAGGCAATCCAGCCCTCGAAGTCGCCAACGGACAATGTGGCCTCTGGTGTTCCAACGGTACAGCTTGAAAAGTACAATCAGGGCCTCTCCCCCAATTGCACTAGTCTGCCAGCAGGCATGGGGTGCTACTTACTCCCCGAGCTGCTTTGATGACATGAGTTTCCATTTTGGGCAGGAGCAAGTCGGACAATCCATGTGGGAATCAGGATGCCAAGAATGCAGCCAGGCGGCATAGTTGATGACCTGCGCCTAAAGTGGCTGAAGCGCGAGGATCAGTTCCAGCACTTCCCAGGATTTAACAGGCTTGCTTCTTTTAGCTTGATTCGAACAGCTCGAAACTTTTGCGGCAGCTTTTTTGAACTGCTCTTTGCTGGCCCTTTCTACCGCAACATCTGGATTCTGCAAAGAAAGACCAGTTGCGTCAATGAGGACATGGCTGAATCCAAACTGCTCTGATTGCTACCTGAACGTCTGCTTCCAAGCCCTCTGGTCAGGCCCGGGCGGAGGCCAGAGCGGCTCGCAGCTTCAAGTCAGGGAAAGGCAGTGCCTGCGCCGGACTCAGCCTTTTTGGCAAGCCTGGCCTACTTGCGACAGCCTTTATCCGCCTCTGTGAAAAGCTCCGCACAAGAAACAAAGTGTGCTTCATGACGCAGGCCGTCTAAATGGCCAAGGAGGGCTTTGGGCGCTGCTTATTGATCTGTCCCGCCAGTGGCAGCGCCTTAGGTGAGAAGTAGGGCGGCTCAAAGTCCTCCACAAGCGGAGGAACGCAGGAACGCGCATGGGGAGCGACAGCGGAAAGTGAAAGCGAGACTCCACTTTAACAGATTCTGCTAAGAAGGAAACATGACTTTTTGTCATATTCGATTCGCATCCATTTCTCGTCGGATCGTGCCAGTCCTCCGTGCTAAATCCTTGGACGCAGCAGGACTCATGACTCAAATTGAAGGGATTGCTATGTTCTAGCATCTTCGCCTGTTGTGTGACTGTGCTCAAATTGGACAAGCTCGCAGACATCCTTCCAGGGGAATTGTGGATTCCTTTTTCCAGCATAGTCAAAGCAGGTTTATGTACATATATATATATATATGGTACCCCCCCTGGAATACTCAGGTTGTTCTCCAGAAATTGACATTTTGGCTGTAAAAATGCAAAACACATGTTTCAGCTTCTAACATGAGGCTCTAAAAGTGCACTCATTTTTAGACTGAAATTCTAGCATCGGTACTTAGTGCAATCCAGGATGTGCTAGCACGTGCTAGCACATCCCGGATTGAAGATTGAGGATTGAAGATTCTCAGGCTAGCACATCCTGGACTGAAGATTGAAGATTGAAGATTATCTGACAACTCTCTCTGGGGTTCTTCGATCTTCAATCTTCAATTCAGGATTTGCTAGCACGTAGTACGTGCTAGCACATATCAGTTTGTCCTAAGGATGGATTGAAGCTTTCCAGAACAAGTGGTCTGAAAATCTTCAATCTTCAACCCAGGATGTGCTAGCACGTGCTAGCACATCCTGGATTGCCCTAAGTACATATTTGGAGAATTTCAGAAAGAGTTGTCAGGGAATCTTCAATGTTCAATCCAGATCCTGGATTGCCCTAAGTGCGGACTTGAAGAATCCAAAAGGCAGACCGAGAGTGCATGTTGTCAGAATCAAATTGTGGATGTGCACTTGCGCTGCCCTGCATTTGGCCAGAAGGGAAAAATGTTGTTGACACCTTTTACAGGCTTTTTGTGGACTTGAGGGCTGGCCAGGATGGACGATTCTCAAATAGAAAATCTGGTAGATCTTCAATCTTCAACGCAGGGGGCAAAACCTCACTGAGTCTAGAACAAACTGGCAAGCCTTTGCGGGACCAGGATTGAGGATGTTCTAAACACATGTTTGTGGAATCTTGTATATTCGATCTTCGATCCAGGGCAACACGATCTGAGCACATGCTGCAAAACACTGCGCTTTACAGCATTTATGCCAAGAATAAGATCTATGATTGAAAACACGTTCCTGGTATTGGCTTGGCTCAGGTTCTTGCTCAGTTCAAACCACATGGAGTTCGATAAGGACAATAACCCTTTCGAAATTGAGTTTGATTCCAAATTCATTTGGCCAAGACAATAGCTATCTTATCCAGTTGAAATTTGAAATGCACAAGAAACGAGTAAACTTGAATTTGGCTTGAACTCGAATGCGTTTTAATCTGGATATCCTTCCCTTGCTTGAATTTCAATAGTTGTTATTGCTGATGCTTGAACCAACTTAGACAAACAACACACGCACATGGGATAGTTGCTTTGCAACATATGTTTCAAATAGACTGAACTAGCATGTGCATGGAATTATGCACAACAGTCGAGTTAACATGTAAATGCAACTGCGCAAGGACATGAAGTAGGAATGAGTTCCTCTTCCCCAAGTTAATGATTTGCTGAATTTCGCTGCCAAACAAAAATAGTAAACACCAAATAATATAGAGCTGCTACAGGCGCATTGAAGCTGCCAAAACATGCACTACGTACTCTTGTTCTGTATTCAACGTTGAGCTTAACTTCTGCTTGGTTGGAATTTGCATGGAGTTGAGCGTCCAGTCAGTTCATAGTCTCAAGGCATTTGGTCTGGCCAAAAACCTCTGTTCTGGACAAACACCTGAGTATTTCAAGGGGGGGTAGCATATATATATATATATGTGTGTGTGTGTATTTATTATAAATGTATGTTCAAAGTTGTATGCCCTTTTCTGAGCCGTGCCCACCCCCTCCCCTTAAAGGTCTTGTTTTCTCCGAGGCACCGAAGGAGAGCGCCACCCGCGGCGGCACGGAGGCGCAGCGGCGCCCGCAGTTGCCCCAGTGGATGGTGCGGTGCGTGTGGAAAGTGCAGCCTGTCAAACATCATGGAGGTTGGGGGGAGGGAGGGAGGGCTCCCCTTCTCCTCCCCCCCCCCCAGCCCCCATAAAAACAGCAGCGAGATCGGTCACGGCTTTTTTGCAACCACGCCCAGGACCGAGTTGGAGTTGTTAGAGTTTTGACTCATGCGGCATACAGCTCTCATGCGGCACAGGGCACCTCCAGCAACCACCGGAACACTGCGGATGGTCTGAAAGGCACCCTGGCGACGCTCGTCGCAACTCTCACAGCCCTTCCAAAGAGTCTTGTACATCTGCAGGCCTGCATACTCGCAACTTCACCCTGGCCTTGTCATGAAAAATGCGCTGCATGGGATCATCATCTTCGGCATCTCCAGCCGAATAGCCTTCCCATGCGTGCTTGGTCCAAGCACATCGTCCCAGTGTCCAAGGACTGTTGATTGCTGGTCTCTTGTCAAAACATCAGATGCGGAGCATCAACGAAATGTGGGTTCCCGTTGGCAGGCAATGAACGCTGCCCAGCGCTGGAAAGGCAACGTCCATCTCAGATTTGCGTCACATGAGATGCAAAGATTCGAGGAGGCACCTTGCTCGACCGCATGGGTCACAACATAACAAAGGTAGAAACAAAGCGGGGAGTGCGCTACCCGCTAACGAGCCTGGGTCTACTCTACGCGGCACAAAGTGCAAGCAGGAGTTCTCTGGAGTGGCATCCGTCAAAGCGGCCCAAAGCGTCACATACTTCGCCATGCCGTCCTCAGTGAAGCAGATTGGACACTTCGCAAACGGGCTAGTTGCCGGTTAACTTGATACACAGAGGTTGATGCATGTGAGTGGTTTATAACCTAAAGCAAAGAAGCAACTCAAGGCACCAAATGATGCAATTGAAAGAACCACAGACCAAAGGCACGAAACGCAAACACGAACAAACAAACAAACAATCAAACACGCGACGTGCGGTAACTCCACACCCCAGCGTCGAGTCGCTGCTTTGAAGGTCGCCGATGTCTCTGGTGGCACTCCTTTCGGCATCCAGTCTTCTGGCTGCCTGCCAGTCCCAGCCAAGTAGTTTTGATAGTCACAAGCCTGCTACGCGCCAGGAAAGAACTCGAAGCCATTTTGACAATCAGTGCACACCATCTTGGGCATGAAAAGTTGGGCTGGGAGCTTGATACTGACTGCTTCTGAGGACTCCTGATCAGATTGGCCAAAAAATGGTCCTTTCGGGACTCATGAACTTTGGCGTGCCTTTCGACCATTGTACACGCAGGCCTGTCTCGGTGGGGCGAGAAGCCCTTTGTCTGCGAGGGCCGTACCAGAAAAGCTACCACATCCATACAAAGACCTCAGCCACCCCAACATGGCAAGCGAGGAGTCCTTGTTGTGCGATGTTGAAAGGGACTCATCATGAGACCACCGGTTTGGAAGGAGACGACTTTGACAAATTCCGAGGAAAGCAGGATTTGTCAGCACAAAACTGAATGCGTCCACGACCAAGATGTCTCAATCTATAAGCTTCTCTATCTTGCAGTCAGGCCACTGTTTCCAGTAGCCTCCCGCATCACTTCTGCCGCGTCCCTAGCACGCAAACACTTGTTTGAGGTGTGCAAGCTCTCTGCCCGCCGCACATCAGCGCACAAATCCTGCCTGGCCATAACCCAAGCTTCATCGTAGATGGCAATGAATGTGGGTGGCCAACCATGTCGGTCCAGCTGAAGGACCTTCAGGGCTCTCGGCAACTCTCGCTTGGAATTTGAGGAACCCCTGTGTGGGCCAGGCAGGGATCTTGAAATGCGCATGGAACTGAGGAGTTGCAAAAGTAAAGACAAAAACGGACAAAAAAAGCAATGCGTGCTCACGCCGAAACAAGCCCGGATGCCTTCTGCGGATCAAGTGTAGTAAACTTCTCGCACCCCCAGCCCCACTGTGTGCCCCAGCCGCATCCGCAAGCTTCTTCACGTCCAGCGACCAGCGCAGCTGAGGAAGGGCAGCAAAGCCTACCAACTCAGAGCAAAGGTAAGCGGATCATTCGGCGCAATATGGGTATGGGTCAAAATTAAGCCACCAGGGGACTGCAGGTTTGAGTCCTTGTTTCCATTTACCAGGGTTCCATTTTGAATACATATTTTTGACCCACAGCCATATGGCCCGACGTATCACGAGACTCATTTCGACCATCGGACGTCCGGCAAGGTTCACGGCCTTCCTCCAGGATTCTGGATCTCACCTCGCAAAAACATGTCTCAAGCGAACCACGGTCGATATGCATGCCTGGTGTGGGAATTGGGTAACGGTAGTTTGGTGTGTGTGTGTATAAAATCCAAAGTTGTCCCTTTATCGCAGTAGATGACGATGACTGCGGTTGTAGAGGATCCCCGAATACTGGCCCTTGCGGCTGTGAACATAAACTCAGTACTCACTAACGGCAAATCAATATGCGGCTGATCCACCAAACAAACACGCACGGCGTTGGATCTTACTAGCAGATCGCGTTAATCCAATTACATCCTTGCACCTTGCATTGTTGCTTGCCGAGTAATGTCAGCTCCGCAAAAACGACAGTAAGTCTCGTTACTTAGTGGAACGCTTGGTTCTCTTGGATGGCAATATTTGGATTGCGCAGTGCTCACCTCCCGGCAGTCGCTGCTGGATGCTGGCATGGGCTTCTGCCCCAGCTGCTCCTCCTCTGCAACTCAAGAGAAGCATATGGCATGCGCTGTGGCCAAACTGGGCTGCTCTTTGGCCACCCTTGGCCACCCTTGGCCACCCTTCACCACCCTTTTCAACCTGCCCTGCGCTTCCCGAGTCTCCTGATAGCTTTGATCGTCCACGTGCAGCTCGGGGCAAAGTTGCCGCCAGTACGCCGCGGAGAACATCGCCTCCTGCGCCGAAAAAATGCGCCAGGCTACACCGGGCTCTGGTCCCGTGCCTGGCTCTGAGCCGAAGCATGCAGCTCCATTGAGGCAAATGGCTCTTTGCGTCTTTGCGGTTCGTGCAAAGGTCATGATTTCACTGAAGCTCGGGAGCTCCAGAGATGCAAAACGTCCAAAAAGATCCAAGGTCTCGCAGGGTTTGCCAGTTTGCCATCTGATTGACGTGAGCGATCAGAAAAGCCTGTGGCTCTCGCTCTCTCGCTGGGCTCGCGCGAAGGGCCGGGCCAAATGACAAGCACTCGAGCAGATGCCAAGCTGCACCTGCGCTGCCCCTCGCCCAAGGCCATGACCTCCTCTGCCATGGTCCGGATTGCAAGAACTACCAAAGGCTTACCAAAGGGTTGATGCTTCCTTGGCAAATGCTGAAAAGGGTCCGAGTTCTCATAACGGATGTCAGCTTCAAGGCCCTGGCTCGTCTTGAGCCGCTTCGGAGACAAGTTCACCCACCAAACATTGCCGCCCGGCAAGTGCTCGCTGCACTTGAATGCGTAATGCTCCAAAAGATCGCAAGTCAACCTTGAAAAGATGACGGAGTTGAGCAGTTTTGTCCTGATGGCAGCGTAAACATTCGGCAACTGGATGTCAGGCTGCAGAATAGGTTGTCATTTCAGCTTGTCATCTTCGGCTGAGGGTATGCACTGCAGCGTGCCTTTTTCTGCCGTGCCTCAACCTTCTGTGCTGGGCTTGGTACGCTTACTCTGGAAGGAGCGCTGCAAATAAGATGAGTGTTACCCGTGGTCTAAGTCTAATTTTCAAGCTAGTGGGCAGGTCAAGAACTCCTTGATGAACAACACTTGATAGCTTTCACAAGGCATCTTGCAATCAACCAATCTATACAAATGCTCAAAGACTACTCGTTGGACAAAACAAGACGCCAACACGCTTGACAGGTTCGAAGCATTCTCTCTCACTGAGCCCAGAGAGTGAGACAAGGCAGAACTAAGCCACCAAGAGGCCGGCGGTCAAAAGGCGAGTTATATTTTGCTAAGCTGTCTGACTGCCCCGGCCTCTTGAGGCGGTGCATTATCAGAGACGGCTATTCTTGGCCGGTGCTGACACGTTGCGAGTCCACGACTGCTCCTAGGAGCATGAGGCTAGGAGCCAAAAGCCGGTGCCGAGGGCACAAGCCACATGGACAATGCTGCAACCCGAATCTCTCCTTTCTCACGACATCGCAGAATCGGAACATGCCCAAATTCTCACGCTTGGCCATGTGCGGTTTGCAGCTCGTCTTTCGCCTTGCTCTCCTCTGCCGCGGTGCATTCATGCTCGTGTGCCTGAGCGGCCACCAGCAAGCACTGCCATTCAACTCATGCCAGCTAGACTTTGGAGCCCCATCGCCGTCATAAGCCACATTTGCCGTCTCTCTTGCCTGCTTCATCTGGCGCATCTCCCTTGCCAAGCGAGCGATGAGGAAGGTGACATCCGTGGTATCATTCACGTGGTACCTCACCGCATCACCGCAGCAGCCGTTCAAGTCGGCAACAGTTGCTTTGCGTGATGCTTACACACCTCAAGGCGCACATTGCTCTGGTGGGCTTGCGACTCACAGTCACGGTGATTAAAGACACCTGGAAGCTCGTGCGATGGGTGTGTCGGAGAAGTTAGACCAAGAGCTGGGACAAAGGGAAAGCGACCAACCGTTCCCATCCTCTCTCCTCACTCATTCACTTACCCATCTATAACCTCAGGAATTGAATGGTTAGATGGGTGAATGAGGCACTGTCAGCTCGCTTCTCTCCCTTGACCGTCGATGACAGGGTTTCTTGAGGACTAGAATAGAGGTAGGAAGTCACATTGTGGACAAGCCTAGCCTCTTCCTTCATCCGCTGGCCAGTTCTTTCCAGCGGTTGGGATTGTTCATGAGATTACATGGTGAGCGGGAAGACGGAGAGAGAAGTGAACAGGATCCCGCTCGCTTCACCGCTTCATTCCTCATCTCTTCGTCATAGTCATAGCGGTTAACCTTTCCTTTTCCTTTCGTACACCATCAATCTCAGAGATGAACCGCTATTACAGAGGGAACAGAGTGAGCGAAGGGAGAGCGGTGAGATGAAAGGGTGGGATGGTCAGGCAGTTGGAGATGATGGAGTGAGGTTACACGGTTAGAACTCAAGGACCCATTCACTGTCAGGCCACTTTCCTCTTTCCCTCTCTCGCCTCCCCACGAGTCAATAATAAAAGAAAATAAAAACAATATAAATGTTTTTATAATATGAAAATAAATGTTTTTATAATATGAAAATAATAGATTTATAATATGAGAATAATAGATTTATAATATGAAAATAATAGATTTATAATATGAAAATAATAGATTTATAATATGAAAATAATAAAATAGAATTACAAACCTATTATTAATAAGAAGAGCATTATAAAGAAATATAAATGCTTTTCATATCCTTTCCAAATCCTTGAAAACAAGAAATAGATTTGGAAAGCATTAGATTGAGGATTATTTTTCCTAATCAAGAGATTTCTACCGGAAAAATCCTCAATCATATGCTGTGCCTATAGGTGAGTCTCTTGGACACTTCCCTCTCCCATCCATCCCTTCATGCCTCACAGAGAAGACTGAGAGGCGGGATGGAGCCAGGTCAAGGATTCTACAAATAACCGTTTATGATGGATATTTCCAAGCCTTTACTACAGGGGACACCAACAAAAAACCACAATGGGCTAGCACAGGAAAGCCTGAGCCCAACCTGGATCACAAGCTACTCCATTCCACAAAGCGCCTTCCCTGTGGAGAGCGCTTGCGCAGCGGGTGCAGACGCCAGAAGCTCTGGCCTCAGCCGAAGCCAGCGGCATGCGCAGAGCTAGGTTTGCCTCGCAAAGATGGGCCGAGTTCTGGCAAAATCATGCAAGCTAAGCTCGGCACTCCGAAGGCATCTTCTTGATTGAGTGAGGTTCCAGCGACAGACTCGGGGGCCAAGAAATGGATTTGACAGGCTCGCATAGCTCTCAGTAGCTCTCACCCGCAGCTCTGAACTAGACAAGCCACAATTCACAAAACACAAGCCCATGAGCAAGCCTCGCTAAGTTGGACCCTTGAGAAGAAGAGGACGGCTTGTGCAGGCCGAAAGGAGGAGCATCATCGTCATTCTTGGCCTTGGGCAAGAAGCAACACATAGATGGCTGTTGCAAATTGGACAATACAAACCTGCTGCTTTCTGATCTTCTACATTAAAAAATAAGCTTGCACAAAGAGGACCTGACGCTCGCAAAGACCGTGAATAAATATATATATATATATATATACATATATATATATATACAGGTTCTTCTCTGATATTTTGTGGCACTGCACAGCACGACCCACAAGGGAACCTAATTGATGTCAAAGCAAAGTCCCAATTCTCAGACTCTGGGTCTCTGGCAATGCGCTTGTTAAAGAACGCTCCAAGTGACTTGCTGTTCGCCTCACAAATTGGACAGCGTGAGAGGCTTGGGATGCCTGGCGAGCCGACCCCATTTGATGGTCTCTGCCAACCCTGCTTCACAGCCCCATCCAACTCGTCGCTAGTAGTAAGAAGCTAGTGCTGACGAAAACGGATCGTCCCTGCCCATGCAGTGCTTGCTTTATGAGTGTTCTGCCACGATTCAAGGCACATGTTCAGGGGGCTCACCGTCGTTCCATGCCTCCAGGTTCATTACTTCTTGTCGGGAAGAATCCAGACCTGACAGCTTCGGCCATAGGGTCAAAAAACTGAAAGACTTTTACTTGTTTTAGCGGATCCCTCTGGGCTTGATGTGTGATGCTGAACCATCCTACTGTACAAATGGCCGGCCACTTATCCACAGCAACCAGAATCGTAGTAGTGCAGGATTCTGCGTTCGATGGGCTCTCACGTAGTGCAGCATGGCGGTTTCCCCATATTTGTCACAAAGACCACAAGATCACGACATGGTTTTTGCATGAGCTGACCAGCAACCAGCCTGCCCAGTCGTCCGTCATGGGCTCGTGGACAGACAATGGCGTTCCGAGGGAGCCTCACAGATATCCACGGCATCGAGTCAAGGTCGGGGCTACTAAAATTGCAGCCCGTCTGAAGTCTGTGCGTTTCACCACAGGACCGCAATATCTGCGAAACGCTGAGAGCTGAATTGCAAATTCATACCAGCAGAGACCCGAAACAGCTCCTCAATGCAGACTGTGCACTGAGCCTCGCTTGCCGTGAAGGCCAAGCATGTCACAAGAGAAAAGTGTGCAAGCACACCAATCACAAGCATGGCCGGACCACTGCCGGCAGGGCAAGCAAACTGCATATGCCGACCCGAGTACAAGCCTGCAACAACGAACCACCAAACTCATTGGGCGGCCCAAGGCACAGCTATGCCAGATCAGACGTGAGCTCAGCAGGGCGAGGCACTCCATCTCATGCAAAATGCAGTGGAAGACAAGTTGTGCCCACAGACAAGGCGGGCCAAGTAGTGCCGCAGAAGTTGAGCTACGACTCCAAACATCTAGACGGCTGAGAAGGCATAGAAGTCTTTGCCTGCATCTAACAGCATCTGGCAGCATCCGTCAACCAAGCTACAAAGAATGTGAAATCGGCATCAACGAATACAAGGCTCGAGGCGAGCACATCGTTGAGCACTTGACGGAATGCTTGACCTTACCTAAAAGACACATGGAGAGAGATGGCGAGGAAGAGACAAATATGGCCTCAATCAAACTGCCCAGCTGGCAACTGCCCTTATGTCCATGCAAAATAGAGACTGGGCGCCCCTGCCAGTGCGCCCAGATACATCATCCCCGCTCATCATGCGGCTCATGGGGGCCGGCGTCACCTCGAAGCCAGCCCCGATTGAAAACATGTGACGTCCCGACAAAGCCTGAGGCCTGTTTTCACATCGCAAGCTTCAAAAATAGCGGCGCAGTCTCGGAGAAAAAGGTTCCAAAAGCGTCCAGCGCAAGTCTCCTGGCCTTCGTGCCGTCCTGATCGAAAAACTTCTGAAGAGTGAGGTAAACGTCCTGGCCCGGATCTAGATCCATGAGTATTCCTTTGCTCAACAAAAACTCGGGAAGAGGTCACCAAAGGTCGTTTCATAGCAAACACGGCAAAAACAGCCATGCCATGCCAGCCTCATCTTTGGTGATCAGGTCGCAAATGCAAGTCACCGAAACCTCATGGCAACGCGCCAGGGCAGTTGGCTTGAAATGCCCACGGGCTGAGTGGTCCTGGGAGACTTGTAGTCTTGCATGGACAGGCAAGCAAGCCCTATTCAATCGTTGCTGAGTGCAGCAACTCTGGGAAGCATTGGATGTGGCAGCTGTGATCTTTGACCAAACATCTCTGTCGATGAACATACCCCAATTTCCCTGGATTCTGATTACTGCAAGTTCTATAAGGAGACTTCTGCCAGTCATATTTTGCAAAGCGAGGAAGCAAAGACCATTGCAGGGATGGACAGAAAACACTGATGGCGTTCGCCTGGCACCTGTGTCCACCTACCAGAAACCACACCTGAGTCCCATCAAAAAGCATTCCTGCAAGTGCCCAGCATCGGATTGCCACTGCAGCGTGGGGCTGTTGGTTCCCTCCTGCCAGGAGTGAAGCGTAACTCGGATGCTGTAATGTCTAATGCGCAAAACACTCTGCGAGTAACTATCATGGGGCAAATCACTTGAGCAAGTCTTTTCTTGCACTTGATGCGCCTGCAAATCCTGCAAGTTCCTGCCTCGCAGCAAATCCGTTGCAAGATCTTCTCTAGCTGGGAAGCCTGGCTTGGACAGTTCTCCCATACGGCTGTCAAATGCAAGGTTGCCCTTTGCCAAATTGGCCTCAGACTTACCCCCTCTGGTGTTCGGATCGTTGGGATGCAAAACCAGTCACGCCTTGCTCACTCCTGTGGGCCGTACGCTGACCTCGTCATTGCCAACCACCACCTGAGGGCTGCAGGGCTGCAGGGGCAGCGGTCCGCTCTGGCAGGTGTCCCACATCTTGAAAGGCCCGCGGGTGAGTCGCCCGGATTGGCAAATTTTGAAGCCCACCTCGGCTGGAGCAGACAGCAGCGGGCCGGCCCAGAGGTGGATTAGGAGGTCCTGACAAGCAGCAGCTTGACACCTCACTCGATTGTCCCCTGGACTCATGCTCACTCGCATGGGTGTCTCTTACATTTCCTGGCTGCGTGCTCGTCTGCCCCTGAAAGCTACAAATGCTATGCTACGTGTGAGCTTTCAGCTGCAAACAGCTCAGAGACGTGACATTCCCAGCCTTGGACTGTATCGCGGCGTGATCGCCCTGGGTCTTCTGGTAGTGCCAGGAGACGGAAGATGCTGACAAGACAAGTGCTGTATTTGCTAGGCCCGCCTGCATGCTTCGCACTGACAACTCCCAAAAGCCTTGAGTGATCCATATTCAAGCTCTTCAGGCGGGAGTCTAGTCTTAGATTACGTACCCCTCCTGATTGCATCCATCTTAAGCTGAAATCCGTTGGCCTCCTTGGCAAGACATGGCAAGACATGCTGGGTCGGCTGGTCTCAATGACCCGCGAGCCAGGTGTTCGCGCAGCAAAGTACTCCATGATCTCCTGGCACTTAGCAGTCCCTTGCAACAAGAGCGAGAGATAGAAAGAAAGAGAGAAAAAAGAAAAAAAAACTTCGCATTCTTGTGCATTGGCACATATTGAAACAAGTCAACTGTGTGTTACGTTTCTTGGGATCATAGCCTTGATCCGCAGTGGGCCAAAGCACGGCTGTCAAGCTGCTCCATGACACTCGCTTGACCAAAGCCAAAGCAAAGCTGCTTCATCCCAAATCCCTCCGGCCTTCGCGGGCGCCAGCCAATCTTTGTCCTGAAGCTCCATGTTCAACCAGGTGCCATCAGGCCTGGATGCGGCATTTCGATCGTGCCTCGCAGAGCTTTGCCACTGTGCCCCATGTCGGATGCAGGAAACTTCAAGCTTCGGCCACAAGAGTATCCAGGAGTGTCCTATTCCAAGATGGCCTCTCTCCTAAGACTGGCTAAAACCGACCAATCTTGGGCAGTGTCTGATTCGTAATGACTAGACAACATGAGCTGCCAAGTGCCAAGCTCACGATAGCAAACGCCACCCTCTGCTATGATCCAGCAGGGCAAGCTGCCGATGGCCTTGCCAGGAACACGGGCATGCGATGAAAAGGAGTGCATTCTCCTCAGCATCAACTTCTTACATCTGTCGATTTTTGCCAATATGGGCATGTCTGGGTAGGATCCGAGTCTGCGGAATTAACACGCCAATACCTTTGAGTCGCCTCCGACAAGAGCTCCTGCTCCAGGCTGCTCATGATGATGACGTGTGTGTTGGGCTCCTCTGCCAGCAC